TTCTTTCTTTCTTTCTTTCTTTCTTTATTTATTTATTTATTTATTTATTTATTTATTTATTTATTGTATTTATTGTATTTATTGTATTTATTGTATTTATTGTATTTATACCCCGCCTATCTAGTCATCTATCTAGAAACAGTTACATGGTATCCGATCTCTGCCAGCATAGAATGAGCAAGGCTAGAGTGATGAATGAAGTGAATAAAGAACACTGACATTTTGTCCAATTAAAGTCAGAACTCAATGGGCCCAGTTAACAAGAGTCAGGTTATCGGCTGACAAGGGACTCCTATCTGAGTAACATTTTAGATCCTCATACAGGAATCGCTGTACTATAACATCAGTCTGATTTATGGTGACCTTTTTAGAGTTTTCCAGGCTGAGAGTGCTCAGAAGTGGTTTACCATCCCCTTCTTCTGGGTGCATCTCAGGACTGTACAGCTTGCCCAAGGCCTAACAGGTTTGCTTTTCTGGGATGCTCCCTGAGGTGGAAAAAAAAAAACAGTCAAGTATTATCTGCACAGAGTCACTATAGGCAGATTTCACTGAAACTACCACAAAGTCAAAACAAGTTGAGGCCCCATGCTCCAGAGAGAGGAAACACCGCTCCAAAATCCCACAGAATCCACATACAGCTATGTTGTTGTTTAGTCATGTCCATCCCACAGAAATACAGCTATGTTGTTGTTTAGTCATGTCCGACTCTTAGTGACCCCATGGCCCAGAGCATGCTAGGCCCTCCTGTCTTCCACTGCCTCCCAGAGTTTGGTCAGATCCATGCCATGAGCTTCGATGACACTGTTCAGCCATCTCATCCTCTGTCGTCCCCTTCTCCTCTTGCCTTCACACTTTCCTAACATCAAGGTCTTTTCCAGGGAGTCTTCTCACGAGATGGTCAAAGTACTGGAGCCTCAGCTTCAGGATCTGTCCTTCCAGTGAGCACTCAGGGTTGATTTCCTTTAGAATGGATAGGTTTGTTCTCCCTGCAGTCCAGGGGGCTCTCAAGAGCCTCTTCCAGCACCATAATTTAAAAGCATCAATTCTTCGGCGGTCAGCTTTCTTTATGGTCCAACTCTCACTTCCATACATCACTACTAGAAAAACCATAGCTTTTGACTATGCGGACCTTTGTCGTCTCTGCTTTTTAAGATGATGTCTAGGTTTGTCATCACTTTCCTCTAAAGAAGCAGGCGTCTTTTAATTTCATGGCTGTTGTCACCATCTGCAGTGATCATGGAGCCCAAGAAAGTAAACTCTGTCACTGTCTCCATATCTTGCCCTTCTGTTTGCCAGGAGGTGATGGGATCAGTGGCCATGATCTTAGTTTTTTTGATGTTGAGCTTCAGATCATTTTTTCCACTCTCCTCTTTCACCGTTATTAGGAGGTTCTTTAATTCCTTCTCACTTTCTGCTATCAGAGTGGTATCATCTGCATATCTCAGGTTGTTGATATTTCTTCCAGCAATCTTGATTCTG